ATCCCTCTCCTGTCCATCCATCCCTCCTTCCATCCATCCCTCCCACACCTCCCCTCCCCACCCATCCCTCCATATCCCTCCCTCATTCCTCCCTCTCTCCATCTCTATATCCCTTCCTCCATCTATCCCTCTGTCCCTTCACCCATCTATCCATCCTCCCATCCATCCATCCATCTATCCATCCATTCCTCCCTCCCCACCCAGCCCTCAACCTTCCTCCCTCATCCCTCATCCCTTCCTCTCTCCATTTCTACTTCCTTTTCTCCCATCTATCTCTCTGTCCCTCCCTCCATCCATCCCTCCATCCATCCATCCCTCCATCCATCCCTCCATCCATCCATCCCTCCCTCCATCCATTCCTCCATCCATCCATCCCTCCATCCATCCTTCTATCCATCCATCCATCTCTCCCACTCCTGTCCCTCCCCACCCAGCCCTCCACCTTCCCCCCTCCCTCCCTACATCCACCTCTATGTCCCTTCCCCCATCTGTCCCTCTGTCCCTCCACCCATCCATCTCAGAGGTGGGGGCAGCGGGTGGCAGCTTAATGGAGGAGGTTGGCCTTCTCGTGGGAGCTGAATGGAGAAGAGGGACACATTGTTCCTACCTGGGGCACATCGGGGAGGCTTCCCAGAGAAAGTGATGTTTGACTCCAGCCTTACACTTTATGAGGAGCCTGCCTCGAGGTTGAAAGAGGCAGGAGGAGCATGAGCAGGGCTGGGGGGTGCCTCGGTGGTCAGAAAGACCGTTTGAGGTGGGACCTACATAAGCATTTTTAAAACCTAATGGTTTCACATCCATTTAATGCATACCATAAAACCTTAACGCGTTCCTCAAGCCCGGATCTCTTGGATGGCGTTGCCGCAGTATGGCGCGGACATCCCATTCCCATGCCATGGGCAGGGTGGGCAATTGCCCCCTGCCAAAGAAACCCTCAGCTCAGGGTCAGACCACAAGGGCTGAAGTCCCCTCTTCTGTCCCCAGCCCCAGGGAGCCCCTCCTGTTTCTAGGGTGGGTCAGAAGATGTCTCCCACCAGCCTGGGGGACAAGAATGTAGGGAGGGGGACCTGCCCTTGGGGGCCCCCCACAGGCCCCCCTCAGGCCCCAGAGGCCAGCAGGGGCTGGTGGGGACGACTGGAATGCGGGAGCGGAGAGCGGGCAGGAAGGGGCTGCCAGGGCCGGGCGGCCAGGCACTTGGATGACGAACTTGGCTGGGTCTTCGGAACACAGGGAAAGGAAGCCTCGAACATTCCTTTGGGGGCCCCTCTGGCCCAGGGAGCAGCGGCTTGTGGTTTCTCAGTATGTGGCAGTGATTAGGGCTGGATCTGTCCGGAAACATCCAACTCCCTTAATGAGCGTGTGGAAAGGGACCCACTGGGCTTCAGGAGCGGAGGCAGGGCCCCCGCAGCATATCCCAAGGCGCCAGGGCCGAGTCCCCGGTGGAATGGTGCTGGTTCCAATGCCAGCCTCCTGGAGACCTTCCTGCGCGGCCCCAGGGGGACCCTGAGGAGCCACATGCACTGTCCCTGTCCCACCAGGTGCTGGAGGAGCTGGCGTCATCCCTGGTGTCGGAGGTGGTGGTATTCCTGGCGGGGCTGGTGCGATTCCTGGGATTGGAGGCATTGCAGGTACTGTCAGGTCCAGCAGGGCTGCAGGTGGCCTTGAGCGACCACAGGCAAAGGACCTCACCCTCTGTGGCTGTCCTTCCAGGGGCCGGGACTCCTGCGGCTGCTGCTGCTGCTGCAAAAGCAGCTGCCAAGGCTGCAAAGTACGGTGAGTGACCCCGGATGGCAGGTCCAGGGCACAGGGCCTGCCCCGGTCTCCTTGTGGGCTCTGGGTAGCTGGAGGGGTTTGCCTGTGTCCACCTGGGGAGCCTCCTTCTCCCCTCCCACTCCTTGAACTTGCCCATTCTGGTCACTGCCCCTGGGATGCCATCTCCTTGTTCTCTGTGAATTGAACGCATAAGGGGCCCTGGGGAGCACTGGCTCCTCCCCACCCATCCCCACACTGCCCCCATGCCCCAGGGCTGTTCAATGGCCGAGGTGCCCACGGGTGGTAGTTCTGATCTTGCTCTAGAAATCAATCATGCTCTTCCCAGCCACAGACCCAATCCTGCTAGTCCTTCAGGCTCTCAGAGTTCTTCCCGACCTCTGAAGAGCTGGATCCACGCAGAGCAGATGCCAACCCACCTGAGCAATTCTGCACTCAGACCCTTACCCTTTAATTCCCCTAGACCCCTGCTCTTGGGGGTCTTCAGAGGCCCCCACAAGGCTTAGGCCAGAAGAACAATCCTTTTTCTTCACAGGAGCTGCTGGGGGCTTAGTGCCTGGTGGGCCAGGAGTTAGGGTCCCAGGTGTTGGGATCCCAGGTGTCGGCGGAGTCCCAGGTGTTGGAGTCCCAGGTGTTGGAGTCCCAGGCATTGGGGTCCCAGGTGTTGGGGTCCCAGGCGTTGGGGGTCCAGGCATCGGGGGTGTACCAGGTAAGCTGGACTTGCTCCTTGTGTATGCATGTGCGTGTGTGTGAGAGAGAAATAGACTATTGCTGAGATTCTGGGGTCCTCCCCAAGACCTCACTCATCTGTCCACCCCCTCAGCTCTGCCTCACCCCTTCATCCTCCCTCCCTCCCTCCCTCCACTATAACAACCTCCCACCTAGCTGCCACCAGCACCAGCTCTTCTATTTTCCTTCTGGCTGTTGCTGTGCTGCCAGAGGCAAGAATCACACCCTTTTCACCTCTGTTTCCAACACTTAACTGAGTAGGTGCTCAGTAAATTGTGGATAGATGGAGGGGTGGATGGGTGGGAAAATGGATGGTCACATATTGGCCATGCAGATGAGCAGGCAAATTGATGGATGAAGGAGTGAGTGAGTAGAAGGATGAGCAGATGCAAGAATGGGTGGATGGATGGATAGATAGATAGATAGATAGATAGATAGATAGATAGATAGATAGATAGATAGATAGATAGATTAAAAAGTTGGATGGAAAGATAAATACATAGATAAAAAGACAGATGGATAGGCAGCTGGGGGACTAAAGTAGTTAGAAGGATGGATAGATAGATGGATGATTGGACGGATGGATGGATGGATGGATGATTGGATGGATGGATGGATGGTTGGATGGATGGATGGATGGTTGGATGGATGGATAGATGGTTGGATGGATGGATAGATGGATGGATGATTGGATGGATGGATGGATGGATGGATGGATGGACAATTGGAGGGGTAGATGGATAGTTGGATGAGCAGATGGATAGATATGTGGGTGGAAGTGTGGACCAGCCAATGCAAAATGGTCGGCTGGGCAGATGGTTAGCTGAATGGGTAGGTAGGCAGGTGTGTGAGTAAGTTGATGGATGGGTGGGTGCATAGAGGAACAGGTAGGTGATAGGTAGTTGGACTGAGGTCCAAGGATAGACAGACAAATGGACAGACATAGAAGTAGGACAGCAGGTGAATGGATGGCTGAGCAACTCTATCTTGACTTGATAGAGAGAAAGAAGATGGACCGACAGACAGGTGGGTGGAGAGAGGACTGTGTGCTGAGCATCTCTCCTCTATTTTCTCCTGAACATTTGTGTCCCTTTGATCTTTTCAGGGGCCGTGTCACCTGCTGCTGCTGCCAAAGCAGCCGCCAAAGCAGCCAAATATGGTTAGTGTCCTGCCCACCCTGTCTTGGCCTCTACTTGCCTGAACCAAAGGGCTCTCTGGTCTGCTTACTCAGACTTGCAGAGCAGGTCCCTGGCAGAGCTGGGACATGGAGGGGGCGGACACCAGGAGAGCAAGTGTCTTCCCAGTGGTCCCCCACCATGAAGCCATAGGCTGAGAGAGTCCTAGAATGACTTTCCCCAGAGAGAGACCCCCTCAGAGGAGCCCAAGCCTGGGGATGAGCCTGCTCTCAGTCTCCCCTACAAAGGGAGCCCTCTCCAAGTGCTCAGAGAACAGGGAAGTCAAGGGGGGGTCTGAGTTTCGTGGAGGAGGCAGACGAGGGGCCCAGGCATCCCTGTTTCCTGCCCTTGAGGACCGGACATGGGGGAAGTGGACATCTTTTCCTCCTGTCCTCCTTCCCTGAGGTGCCTCCCCACCTGGTCATCTCCCCTCTGCAGGGGCCAGGGCCGGAGTGGGCGTTGGAGGCATCCCCACGTACGGGGTTGGTGCTGGGGGCTTTCCTGGCTATGGTGTTGGAGCTGGCCTTGGAGGTGTCCCTGGAGCTGGCCTTGGAGGTGTCCCCGGAGCTGGCCTTGGAGGTGTCCCCGGAGCTGGCCTTTCCCGTGAGCCTAAGTTCTCTCTAGTGGAGGGGGTGGGGCTCCCCCAGCTGGCTCTGCAGGGTGGGCAGGGAGTGTGGGCTGGACTTCAGTGTGCTCAAGGACAGTGGGGACAGGGTGTGACTCTGGTGCCTTTTGGGGCCGGGAGCTGGAATTCTGCCGGCTGAGATGGGGTCTGAGAGTCTGTCCCCTCTTCCCTTGTAGCTGCAGCCCAAGCAGCCGCTGCGGCTAAAGCTGCCAAGTACGGTAAGTGGCCCACCCCCAGTCCCTGTCCTCCCCCACCTCCTGCTCCCCAAGAGCTGAGCACTGGACACTCTTCTGACCTCTAGGTGCTGGAGGAGCTGGAGCCCTGGGAGGGCTGGTGCCAGGTGCAGTGCCAGGTGCAGTGCCAGGTGCCGTGCCAGGTGCTGTGCCAGGTTTAGTGCCAGGTGTGCCAGGAGCCGGAGGGGTGCCAGGTGAGCAGTGTCCCCCACTGAGAGACGGGTTTGGTTTGTCTTGCAGAAGGGTCCCTGAAGGTGGCTGGAAGCATCCGCATCATTTTACAGATGGGATGGCTGACCCCAGAGACAGGGAGGGACCATGATCTCCCCAAATTAGCCCAGAGGGAAGAGCCCTGGCCTTCTAATCCCTGGCAAGGCCCCTCCCTGCCTAGGGATGCTGGGGGATGTCACCTGGCTAGGTGGCATCAGATTCTGGGTTCCACCCCTAGCATGGCAAAATTTAAAAATAAATTAAATTAAAAAGCAATTCATTTCCTGCAATAGTTTGGATCCTGGAGCTTTCAGGATTTTAAATAATTACCTGCATTCAAAGTAGAAAGCTCCACAAATCCTTTGGGGAAGGTCTAGGAGAGGACCATGGTGCCCCTTTCCAATCACTACTTTGGCCCAGGGCTGGATTCTCACAGGCTCCACCGAAGCCCAAAAAGGGCAGGGAGGTGCCCGGGGGCCAGGGGTGGTCCTCAGAACCTCAGAACTCAGGCTGGACCTGCGTGTGCGTCCCCGTCTCCAGCATCAGGTTGTGGCTCAGGAGAAACTTCTGTGGGGGATTTTGGGAAGGCTGAGAGGGGGCAGTGGGGCTGGGGATGGCTCCCCATTCCCTATCTTCACCCACCCAGGAGCCGGGACAGCCGCCGCTGCAGCCGCCAAAGCAGCCGCCAAAGCTGCCCAGTTTGGTAAGTGGCCCCCCAGGGCCCGACCCCTGTTCCAAAGCATTGCTCTCGGGTCCCCTGCTCAGAGGTCGGTCATATTCTGACGGTGGGGACTCTCCTCGCCCTGGCTCCTCTGATCAGCTCTGGGGGCTGGTGACATTGGGGAAGCAGCTCAAGATGGCCCTGGAGAGCACCCTCACACACACCATCCTCCAGCCCAGCTGAACCTGGCCCGGATTCTGGGCTCCATGCTGGGTTCTAGCCACCTCTCCCTGAGTGACTGGGGTCCTTCCTACTACCTTCTGAGGGCCACCCTGGCAGCCCCAGGCACACACACTTTACTGAAAGTGGCCAGTGATCCTTCTTCTTCCGATCAGAATCCCAGGGCCCGAGAGGCCCAGGAAGGTTCTAACTCCAGGTTCACCGACCTCCTGACTCCCAGGAGGCCGGCTCTACTCAGTCCCTCTGCCAGACGTGGAGACAGAGGCCCCAGCCTTAGGAACCTGCTCACGGCCACAGCTCAATGGCAGCTGAGCAGAGGTCTAAACCAGGTCTGCCTGTCTTTAGTAAAGTGCTCCCTTTCCCTGTCACTCTCAAGCCTCCAGGGGTCCTTGTCCCCCAAAAGGCCTCGATCTCCTGAACTTGCACAGACTTTGTATTAGGGAGGAGGAAGCTGAGACTCATCATGGGGAAGTGTCCGGCCCAGGGTCTCGTGGCCAGTCTGCCCTGCCTGGGGAGATAACCCATGGACCCTGCCTCTGGACCCAGGGCTCTTTCCAGCACCTTCCTTCTTCTTTGCTCAGGCCTTGGTTAGCCAGGCCCTGGGCAGCTATGGGTGCTCTTGCAGGATTGGGCCCTGGAGTCGGTGGAGTTCCTGGTGGAGTTGGGGTTCCTGGTGGAGTTGGGGTTCCTGGTGGCGTCGAAGTTCCTGGTGGTGTCGGAGTTCCTGGTGGCATCGGAGTTCCTGGTGGCGTCGGCGTCCCTGGTGGCATTATTCCCGGTGGCATCGCAGGTGAGTGTTGTGTCTGAGAAGCCTGGGGGTCCCCTGCAGGCCCCATGGGCACCATCCTGAACCCCCCTCCTTCCAGGAGCAGGACCCGCTGCTGCCAAATCCGCTGCTAAAGCTGCCGCCAAAGCTCAGTACCGTGAGTGCCCGCCTCTCCCCCAAGCCCACCTCTCCCCCATGCCCAGAGGGCCCAGGGCCCCTCCCGCCCCCGCACACACCAGACCCACTCTGTGCATCCGGCAGCATCATCAGCCCCAAGAGAGCAGGTGGAGGGCCTGAAAGCACAGATTCAGGGAGAGGGAGTCCTGGGTTCCAATCCTGGGTCCGAAAGAAACTGAGTGACCTTGGGGTTCTAGCCGGGAAGTCAGCAGCCCAGCACCCGCCTCGTGCGCTGTCAGGAGAATTTAGTGAGTTCACCCAAGATGGGAGGGCAGCAGGCAAGGCAGGAAAGGAAGTGGGGTCTACACCGCAACCCCAGGTTCCAGCCTGTGGATGGGCTGGACTTGGTGGCCAGTGGCCATCTCAGGAAGACTGTTCCAGGTCCACAGAGCGATGGATAAAGGTAGGGAGTCTGGAGATGGGGACAGAGCCATGGAGGAGGTCGCTGCTCCACCGGGGGCCCTTCCCTTGGGGTCTGACTCAGCTCTCAGGGCGGGACATCTCCAAAGGGTCAAGCTGCCTGCTGCCCAGGTGGGTTCCCTGGAGGAGGAGGCAGGGCTCAGTCCCACTGCCCATGTCCCCACAGAGGCGGCTGCTGGGCTGGGTGCCGGGGTTCCTGGATTAGGAGCTGGTGCCGGGGTTCCTGGATTAGGAGCTGGTGCAGGTGAGGAGGTTTCTAGAGGTTAGACAGAAACTGACCCCCTGAGCTCAAAGGCAGGAGACCCCTCCTCCTCCCAGCATGCCCCACCTCCCCCTGGCACCCAGAGGTGCACAGTGAACCCTCCATTAGATTTTCCTGGGCAGTCAGAGACAACTGGGGTCCCAGAGGGAGGCAAAGCCAGGCAGAGGTCTCCAGGCTGCCAGGTTTCAGAGGGAGCCATGACAGGGCTCCAGACCTCAAAATAGCCCACCTACCCCCCAAGGAAGGAGGTAGGAGTCCTAGGGTCCTAGCTCCGGGCCTTCAGGAATGCTCCACGGCAAGGGGGCCACTAGGAACTCCAGTTCTTCACCATGTGGTGACTGAGCCCCACTTGGTGCCCATCCACAGTGGGCCTGGAGGGGATAGTAGAGGACAGGTGGAGAGAGGAAGCACAGTTCGGCCCTCAAGCCCCCACATCAGATTGGCAGTAGTGGCCTGGTTAAACAGTAAGCCCGATATCTGGTGGCGAGAACTCCTGGTGGGAGGGTCAGAACTTCGGGGCTTTGAGGAAGCAACAACGTGGCCAAGGAAGGCAGGGTGGGCTCCCTGGAGGAGGAGGCAGGGCCTCAGGCAGGGGCTCAGCTGCTGACCCCCCTTTCCCTTGTCCCCAGTGCCTGGATCCCTGGCTGCTGCAAAAGCTGCCAAATACGGTGAGTGTGACCCCCCATCCCTGCCACGCCACAGCGGTACCCTTGCCACCCTGCCGGCCTGACGGCACAAGGCCGGGTGGGCAGGATGGAAAGAGGCAGTGCCTAGGTCACGTTGCTGGCAGCTACAGTTCTGGCCCCTGCCCACTAAATGCTTGTGGTGCCTCCAACCCCTGTGACAACTAAAACACCCCCCCAGGGGACAGGAACAAGGCCCCTCTGGCCCCTTGAGCCCTGGGTGCAGGGTGGTGCAGGCCTGCACTGGTGTGAGGAGGCCGGCAGCCTCCGCCTCCTTTCCCACCCTTTGGCCAGAGCAGAGGGGTCTGTTTCCTGCTCAGGGCACCCCCGGCCCCCCTCCCTGCCTTCCTGTCAGCCTCGAGGACGTGGCAGAGCTGCTGGCCTTGCCACTTGGCACTCTGGACATCCCGCCTGGCCAGACCCATGTCTGTGGCCCCCGCATTCCTGGCCTCCTGGGAGCCAGGCAGGGGCCTCCACCAGGGACCTGCCAACTGGCCCCCGTCGGTCCCCTTGGAGCCAGTTTCCACTTCGGAAAATCCCAGCTTCCTCAGCCCCACCCGCCGCGGCCCCGGGGAACCCAGGGCCCTTCTGCTGTTCCTCACGGGCTGCTCAGCTAGCCTGAGTCAACCCACGTCGCCAGGGAAACGGAGCAGTGTGGTGGGTGGTGTAGCGGGGCGGCTGTGGACTCCAGTGGCTCTTGAGCTGTGTCCTGCCTGTGGAAGGAGCACACTGCTTAACTCCTGCTTGCCTCTACTTTCTCATCTGCAAAATGGGGGCATAGCCGGCTCTGCCTTTCCTGTCATGTTGCAATGAGCTAGATAAAACTCACGGAGCCCCGTGAACTCCTGTGCATGAGCTGTGCAGAAGCCACCCACACGAACAGTAGGATTTGGCACTTACAGAGTGCATAGCAGGTGTGCCCTACTCTCACACACCCAGAGGGCAAGCAGGGTATTATCACATCCTGCAGGGCATAGGGACTCTGGGGCTCAGAGAGGCCACAGCCATGTCAAGTGGACAAGCCAAGATTTGAACCCAGGGCTATCAAGAACTGAGACCAAGTAGTCCAGAGTCAGCCATGTTCACAGCCACACTGTCACTCCAGTAGGCTCCCAGCACGGTCCAGGGAGAGGAGGCCTGTCCACTCTGTGTTGGAGACGGAGAGAGCAAGACCTGAGGGGGATTCCCCTCACTGAAGTCAGAGCCTGGACTCGGGGCCCGGGGCTCAGGGACAGTCCTTCCCCACTCTCCTCCCACTGGTCACATGGGCTGGGCCACCGATCTGCTTCCCTTGTGTCCCTGGGTCAGGGAGGCCCATCCTCCAGAAACGGGAGGGGGGTCTGATCCTCCACCCTCTCTCCGCAGGAGCAGGGGGCCCTGGGGCCCTGGGAGGCGTTGGGGGTCTCGGTGGAGTAGGAGTCCCAGGTGGCGTGGCAGGTGAGTCGCACCTTGGGAAGGGCTGGCAGGGAGGGAGACAGAGACCTGGCACAGTTCCTCCCTGAGCTCCCGATATGTCCCCAGGGGCCGGACCTGCCGCCTCTGCTGCTGCTGCCAAGGCTGCTGCCAAAGCTGCCCAGTACGGTGAGCACGGGACGTGGGGAGACCCCTGCCGGGGTCCATGACGGGCCCAGGCTCCGTCCACCAGGGGACAGCACCGTCCCTCTGCAGGCAGACTTTGCTAGGATTCCCTAACCTGCAGGCTCAATGCCCGCTCTCTCCACAGGCCTCGGGGTCGGTGGGCTCGGAGCTGGAGGACTGGGGGTCGGTGGGCTCGGGGCTGGAGGAGCCGTCCCCGGCGCTGGCTTTGGAGGTGAGGACTGTTCTAGAATCAGCAAGCATGAGGCGCATGTGTGACAGGCAGACAGACAGACAGGGACAAGCCTTTCTCCCCTCCGCCGGATACTGCTCAGCCTTCCTGAGCAGCAAGGTGAAACAGGAGAAGGGAGGACCCAGCGGAGCGAGTGACAGGGACAGGGCACCTGGGTGCCCCTGGGTGACTGGAATACAATCTGAAGCCAGCTCGGATTTCACTCTCAACGAAAGTGACAAGGTTTCTCAGCAGGTCACCCAGTCCCTCTAGAGCACTGCATATATGACATCGTGAGCCACTCCACCGCTCAGGCTGTCCCCTCTCCCAGGACGCCTCCCCCTCCCCCACCCTGCAGTGCATCTGCCCCTGGGGTTGGGTGGACCCCGCCCTCCCCGCCGGGTCCCTGAGGCTGCAGACCAGGGCTGGGCAAGGGGCAGCCAGGCCACCCAGCAGCAGAGGTCGCCCACCATCCTCTTTCCTCTCTTCCGACCCACTGCCCACCACGAGTGGGAGTTCCTTGGGGGGGGGCAGTCAGGCCCATTTTGCAGACCTGGAGATCAAAGTCTGGAGAGAAATGACTTTTCCAAGTCTGTGCCCCCATGGCCGACCTGATGACATTTTCCCCTCTCTCGGGTGGTCATTGGGTCCCCCTACCTAAACTGGCCTGCAAGCCACTCCCTGTGTGCTCCACAGGATGGGACACACAGCAGGAGCTTAGTAAAGGCTGTTGGAAGGCGGGATGGCGGGGAGTAGGGTGGTTGGATGTGGAAGGACAAGTCAGGGCCTGAAAGCCTTGTCCCCCCGTGCCGTCTCTCCAGGTGTGTCCCCAGCTGCAGCTGCTAAAGCAGCCAAATATGGTGAGTTATTCCTGCGGGCTTCCTCCAGCAGGCCCACTAGTGGCCCTCACCCCTGCCGTCACCCCCACCCTGGCTTAGGCCTCCCTCCTGCTCAGGGTTCCCCTGAAGGTCTGTGCGAGACAAATCCTGGCCCCAGAACAGAGACAGAGGGATGTCAGGGCGCCCACATGCGGGCCTGGTCCTGACCCCCATCTGCCCTCTCCTCAGGTGCTGCTGGCCTTGGAGGTGTCCTAGGAGCCACCAGGCCATTCCCAGGTGGAGGTAGGGCTGGCTCTGCTCTAGCAGAGGGGGCTCACGGAGCCCACATCCACAGAGGACCCGAGGCTGGGGGTGGACAGGGCACTCCAGGACAGGACACACCCTGGGCCAAGGGCAGGCCTCAGGGTTGAGGCAATGCCGGGAAGCTCAGAGGTGTCACATCAGGGCACTTGGTGGGGACACGTTTAGTTGAGGAAGCTGCCTGGCTGCAGGGGAGCGCGTGGTGACAGGGAGACTCGGCCCCAGACAGGCTTGGGTGACCAGGGCCTGCCTCCCCACCGCCGCCGCCAACCCCTAGTCTCCCCTGCAGGAGTGGCAGCGAGACCTGGCTTCGGATTGTCTCCCATTTTCCCAGGTACACCCAGGCGCCGCACCCCGGCCCTTTCCTGAGCTCTGCCGGGTCCCTCCTCCTCCCCTGCTTCAGCTCCTGCTCAGAAGGGCTGAGCCAGTGTCCAGGGTTGAACCCCATGACCCCAGGTCACACCAGGCCAGACCCCAAGCCGACACAAAGTCGCCCCATCCCCGTTCTGTCTCCTTCCTCTCCAAGGACAGGGAAAACATTGGCTTTTCTAAGCCACATTTCATGCCTCTGGGGTCCTTGGGGGACAGATGGCTTCTCCATCATGTTCCACATGAGGCAAACTGAGTTCAGGGAGTGCCAGGGACCGCTCCAAAGTCACACAGGGAGCTGAGGCCGAAGCCCAGAGTCAGCCCCTCCCGCCGCACACCCTGTGCCAGCCTCACCAGCCGGGAGGGTGTGGTAGGCTCCCGGGAGCAGGCACCCTCAGCCCCTCTCCTTACCTTGTAGGTGGAGGCGCCGGGGGCCTGGGAGTCGGCGGTGAGTCTGCAATAACAGATGTCCCCTGTGCGGGGGACTCAGGGCCCCAGCTCCTTTCCTGGAGTAGAGGGAGTGGCTAGTGTGGCCATGGCCCTGGGCAGGTCCTCTGGTATGGGGGGAGCCCCAGGAGGAGATAGGAGCCAAGCCCTTGGGTAGCCATTGGAGCAAGACAGGGACCTGGATCACTCTGGGGCAAGGGACTCACTAGAGAGACCAACAAGCTCCAGAGGAAGGGACAGTAGAGCTGTCCCATGGGTCAGTGGAGACCAGGCAGCACTCGGGGGTCTGACTGGGGTGGGCTGAGGCACCTGCTGAGTGGCCAGACCTCCAGGCCCAGGCCACTGAAAGGCCTCTGGCTTGGGCTGTGGAGGACAGGTTCGGGGCATGGGCAGGCTGGCACAGGAGGCCTTTGCCACCTGCAGAGACAGGACAGGCTGGGCACACAGCAGGGGCGCTGGGAGAGCCCTTCCCCAATTCCATCCTTCCTCCACAGGAAAGCCCCCCAAGGCCTACGGAGGGGCCCTGGGAGCCCTGGGATACCAAGGTGAGTAGAGACGCAGCTCTGGGAAGGGACAGGGGACAGGAGGATGAAGACAGAGGCCAGGGTTGGGGGCCACTAGCCTGGGCCTGGGGGAGAAGAAGGTTCTTGAGATGCTGCCCACCCCCACCTGTAGGGAGGGACCCAGGGAGAAGGGCAGGAAGGAGAGTGGCTAGAACAGGGGCACCCGAGCCAGAGCAGTCAGAGGTGGGCAGGAGGGTCATCGGCCACCAGCTGGAACTTGCTGGAAAATGCAGATGAGCCCGTGGGAACTGTGTGGCATAGGTTCTGGTCACCTGCCCTCAGCCACTGATCCTTCAGGTTGTCCAAAGCAGGCATAGCTCTGGCCTCAGTCCTGCAGGAGAGTGGAGGCCCTTCTGCACCCACCTGCCTGCAGTACACAGAGGAGGTGGCAGAGGCCAGGGATGGTAAGGTCAGGGACAAGCCCAGATGGGCCTTTCCTACGGTGCCTACTGTCCATCAGGCTGATGCACGTGGCCCTATCCAGGGGCTTTTCAATCACCTAGGATGAGCATCAGAGAAATGCCACATGAGCCCCGTCCTCCGACCCCTATTTGTCTGCTGGTTGTCACCAGGTGGCGGTAACGAGCCACATGTCACTCCAAGACTCCAAGACCAGATCCAGTGGCCTCTTACCCCAGAGGGAGACCAGAAACCATTTACCAATCAGACCCCATGTTCCTTTTCCAGCTCAGGCACAGACTCTCCCTTGCTCTGGACCTCAGTTTACTTTTGTGATAAACCCTCCCCTTCAAGGGCCCACCCCACCCCCTTAGGCAGCCATCCCTTCCAGACACCTGGACTCCTCCTTCACCCCATCTGATAGGGCTGCTCTGCAGGATGCCCAGAAGCAGGGGACCCTGTCCAGCCTGGTACTTTCCCAACCTAGTCCCCCACCACCAGCCTCGATTTTATCAATGACACCTGGGGCCCAGCTCCCACCCCACCTGCCCAGTGGGAGTTTGTACTATGCCCGGAGTTTTCCCTGGGCCGTGGACTGGCTTCTCCGAGCCTCTGCTTGAGCAAGCAAGGGGCTTATGAAACAACCGGGCGCGGGGCATGGTGGCGCGCACCTGTAATCCCAGCAACTCAGGAGGCCGAGTCAGGAGGATCAAGAATTCAAAGCCAGCCTCAGCAACTTAGTGAGGTCTTAAGCAACTTAAAGAGACCCTGTCTCTAAATAAAATACAAAAAAAGGGGGGGCCTGGAATGTGGCTCAGTGGTTAAGCATCCTTGAGTTCAATCTCCCATAAAAACAAACAAAAAAAAAGCCCAGGGTGAGGGACACCCGCTGACCTTTGTGTGCATCTCCCCTGCCCAGGTGGGGCCTGCCTGGGGAAATCCTGTGGCCGGAAGAGAAAGTGAGCTTCCCGGGACCCCTGACTCGCGACCTCATCAACGTTGGTGCTACTGCTTGGTGGAGAATGTAAACCCTCTGTGATCCCACCCCAAGCCCCACTCAATGCCCACCCGGGAGGGGACGGTAGGCCAGCGGCCTTGGAAATCCACAGGACAAGGAATCAAGAGCAGTGGCCACATGCCCCGACTGGGAGGCCACCGGCTCCAGAGGCCAAGGCTGGTGGGCTCAGCCCGGCCCCACCCCTCCTCCTGGGAGCTCCCCCCACACAGTCTCCATCTCCAGGGGAAATTGGTGCTTCTTGTTGGTGCTTTTGTCTTCCTGGGGGGAGGGAGGAGGGTAGGGCAGCCCCTGGGGAACCCCTACCTGGGCTCCTCTGAAGATGGTGCAGATGCTTCCTGGGCAGTCCCACCTCCCCCTGCCCACCAGGAGCCACCCCCGGTTGCGGTCCAGCTGGTACCCAAGCACCTGAAGCCTCAAAGCTGGATTCGGTCACAAGATCCCTCCTCTCCTTGGGTCCACTCAGCCCTTTCCCCACCCATCAATGGCTGTTCCCCACAACTGGGGCACCTTTGGAGTCAGAAGAACCCCCCACTCACACTGGGAATAGCCCCCTTGCTCTTGTGGAATCCATGTGTCCGTCCATCCACCCAACCGTCCATCTGTTCATTCTTGTCCCCAGTTGACCGCCTGGTGCCACTAGCTGGCTGGGCACGCCCACACCCACCTGGGTAACCTCCCATGGCAGCCTCTGCCCCTGCCACACACACCCTGACGCTGGCCCAGGGTGTGAGGGCTGTGTGGGCTGGGGTGACAGGACTCTCGTCCCCAGCCTGGGTCCCCCCACATGCAGTACTGTATCCCCCATCCCGCCCTCGAGCCACTACTACAGAGCATGTCCCGTCCCGCCCTCCCCATCTCTTCGTGTCTCGCTGTGATAGATCAATAAATATTTTATTTTTTGTCCTGGATATGTGGGGAATATGTTTGATTGTGGATGTTCTCTTTGGGTTTTATTTTTGTGGTTCATTGAAAAACATTTTTTTTTCTCTGATCTGGGGAGCTGTATCTCCAGTCGAAGATTCATTTTAATCACTTTGATATAACTCTGGATGAAACACACATATTTTTTAAATAATTAAAAAGAATTAACTGCTTTGGAAAAGACTAATAAATCAAATCCTTTTAAAGGAAAGTGTGTCAGGCTCCTTTATGTTTCTCCATCTGCCTTCAGCTCCGGGCCCAGTGGGAACAGCGCTCCCCGGTGGGGAACCTGAAACTGCCCCTGGTGTGTGGGGAGGCTTCTGGGCCCTCCATCCCTCTTCAAGGTGGGCTTGTCCTTTGGCAATGGAAGCCTCCCTGCAGGGAGGCAGGGCCTGGACAGCCTCTTCCACAGAGGTGGGTTCACCCACTGGCCACATCTTCCCCTGCACTTGTCCCAGAGGCACAAGTCCCCAAGGACAGGTCTTGGTGGGTGGCCTCTGGAGCCTGCAGATGGAGGGTGGATGAAACAAAGCTGACCCCTCTGACTAGACCCAAGCCTTGAACTTCGCAAACAGCCACAGAGAGAGAGGAATGGCCGACCTGAGCACACTCAGAAAGGGGCTGAGGATCCCCTGCCTTCCATCTCCCCAGGGAAGACCCCCCCCCCACTCCTGAGGGCCCACGGAGGCACCACTTCTCTTCATTTTGCAGCGTGAGAACTGACGCCCTGAAGCTGGACGGTCCCAGCAGCTCGGGGGCTGAGGCAGGAGGCTCCCAGGGCCCAGGCCAGCTCTGCAACTCAGCAAGACTCTGTCTCAAAATTTTTTAAAAAAGGACTGAGAATGTAGCTTAGTGGTAAAGCACCCCTGGGTTCAATCCCCAGTTCAAAGGAGAGAGAAAGGAGGGAGAAAGAAAGAAGAAGAAAAGAAGAAATGACACCCACAGGTGGCAGGAGGACACGCAGCACCATCCTTAGGTGACCCACTTCCACACTCCATCCTGCTCCCCTAGGAGCTCTGAATCCCCGGGGCCCAGGAATGTGCTCCCCTGGAGGCCACATACGCCCTGCTCTGGGGGTCAGATTCTAGAATTCTCTCCCCAAACCACTGAGCCCACTTCCGGGACCCACATGGCCTCCTGCAGCCTGTGCTGTGGGCAGACCCTTGTCAATGAGAAGAGTGACCCAGGAGCTCCTTCGGGGATGGAGATGGCACTCTCCCTGCAGCAGGAAGGCTGTGCCTCTGCAAGCAAGGACCCTCACGGGGTGGAAAGAGTGGCCTTGCTCAGGACAGTAAAGGGCAAAAGAATACAGTGGGAGGCTGAGACAGGAGGATCGCAAGTTCAAGGCCAGCCTTAGCAATGGTGAGGGGCTAAGCAATTCAGTGAAGCCCTATCTCTAAATAAAATACAAAATAGGGCTGGGGATGGGGCTCTGTGGTTGTCTGCCCCTGAGTTCAATCCCCAGTAACCCCCAAAAGAAAAAAGAATAGAGTGGGGAGGAGTTGGGGGGCCAGACAGCCAGAGAACCTGGAGGGAGAGGCAGAGCTGAGGACATCTGGAGGATGGGTCAGGAGGCTGGGACGGTTGTGGTACTTATTGTGGTCCAGGGTAACTGTCCAGTGACAGGGACCCAGCCTTCCCAAGAGTCTGGCAAAGTTGACCGGACACCGCTCATTCATTTCCCCATTCAAGGAGAAAGACCTTCTCCGGGTGCCTCCACAGCCCGCTGGCTTGGGAAAGTTGGCAAGACTCGGTCCCCACCTCTGGGGCCCCTGGCTTGGGCTCTCATCACTCATGGTTTTAGATGTCACCTGTGCACTGGCAACCCCAAACTGACGTCTCCTGCACGGGCTTCTCCCCCGAGCCCAGGACTTGCACACCCGAGGTCAATTCCAACCTCGCCATCTGGAAGTATTAGAGATAGAGATGTGACCTAGCAGGGCTCTTCCTGTCCACCAAAGCTGTCCCCTCCTCGCCTTCTCTACCTCAGGGAATGACTGCAGCTCAGGTGGACCCGGGAGCCACCTCTCTCAGGTTTTCCTGCCTCGCTCTCTGCAGCAGTTCCACCAATGAATTCTTTTTTTTTTTAATATTTTATTTTATTTTATTAGTTCTCGGCAGACACAACATCTTTGTTGGTATGTGGTGCTGAGGCTCAAACCCAGGCCGCACGCATGCCAGGCGAGCGCGCTACCGCCTGAGCCATATTCCCAGCCCCCACCAATGAATTCTGAAGCATGACTTCCAGAATAGACCCAGGGTGGTCCACCTCTCCCCACCTGCAGGGTGAGGCCCTGGCCCACCAGCCTCTCAGCCTGGGTTCCCGAAACAGCCTCCGGGTCCTTCCCAGTTCTCCTTCAGCCTTCTCTCTCCTGCAGCCCAAACGACCCTTTAAAACGCAAGTTGGTGAAGGCCATGACCCTGCGCAAGCTACTTCAGTGGCTCCCACCTCCCCCAGAGCACAAGCCAGAGGCTGTTCAATGGCCAGGGAACCCCTCCCTTGGTTGCAATGGCTCCCTCTCCTGCTCCAGAACTTAAATGACACCTTATCAGAAGGTCCCTCCCTGGCCCCTCTCCCCCACCCCCAGGGATTGAACCCAGGGGCACTTAACCACTGAGCCCCAGCCCCAGCCCTTTTTATTTTCTACATAGATGCAGGGTCTTGCTGAGTTGCTTAGGACCTCAGTAATTTGCTGAGGCTGGCTTTGAACTTTCGATCCTCCTGCCTCAGCCTCCTGAGCTGCTAGGATTACAGGCATGCGCCACCATACCTGACAGGATGGATGGGTACTGTTTTAAGAACAAAATAGATGAAATTCCTGCCTTTATTAGTTAGAAGTTCTGGCAGAAAGATATGAAGGACTGCTCCAGGCTGGTAATGACCCCAAAGACATTCAGGTCCTATCCTCAGAACTCATGAACCCCTCTGTTTCCTAGAGCTGCCCGTAACCGGACAGCGAGGGACTTAACTAACAGGACTGCAACTTCTCTCCATTCTGGAGGCCGGGGCTCTGGGATCCACTGCTGGGAAAGACCTGTTCTATGAACTCTCCTCTTGTGGACTTCACACGGCCATCTTCTCCCTGCACCGTTGCCTGCCTTCCTTCTGTGCCTGACTGTGTTCTAATCTTTTCCCCGAAGGACTGTGAGTTCAAAGGATTCAAGGATTTTGAGGACTGCGAATTTCCAGGATTTCGATTCGAGAATTCGAGGATTTCGAGGATTATATAATCACACTCTGAGCCACCGGAGCACAGATTTCAACATACGGGTTCTGGGGAAACAATTGAGCTAGTAACTGTTGCCATATATGGGGAAAGGGTCTTCGCAAATGAACTTGAGTTAAAGATCCTGGTGTGTCCCAAATGCCATGCGAGTGTCCCTATAAGAAGCTGGAAGGACTGCAGGCCAACAAATGGGAAAAATCTTAATATAATAAGTAAATTCCTGCAAACACACAACCCACCAAGACTGAATCATGAGGAAATAGGCCATCTGAACAGATCAATAATGAGTAAGAAGTTGAATCTGTAACAAGAATTCCAACAAAGAAAAGCCTAAGACCAGATGGCTTCCCTGGAGAATTTTGCCAGACATTTAGAGAATTAACACCAGCCCTCCCAAAAGCCTTCCAAACAATTAAAGAGGAGGGAACACTTCCAATTTCATCCTATGAGGCCAGCAGGACTCTAATATCAAAACCAGACAAAAGACACAAGAAAAGAACTACAGACCAACATCCTGGATGAATACTGATGCAAAAACCCTCAACAAAACTCTGGCAAACTAGATACAATAGTATATTAAAAGATCATAGGCACCTAGACACAGTGGCACACACCAGCAACTCAGGAGGCTAAAGCAGGAGATGGCAAGTTGGAGGCCAGCCTCAGCAACTTAACAAGGCCCTAAGCAACTTAGCAAGATCCTGTCTCAAAATTTTTTAAAAAAGGGAAGAGTTGGGGGCCGGGCACAGGGGTGCACGCCTGTAATCCCAGCAGCTTGGGAGACTGAGACAGGAGAATCGTGAGTTCAGAGCCAGCCTCAGCAAAAGTGAGGTATTAAGCAACTTGGTGAGACCCTGTCTCTAAATAAAATAAAAAACAGGGCTGGGGGGTGTGGCTCAGTGGTAAAGTACCCCTGGGTTGAATCCCTCGTACAAAAAAAGTAGAGGTTTTCCTGTTCACAAGACAACATACTCATGGGCTGGGGATGTGGCTCAAGCGGTAGCGCGCTCGCCTGGCATGCGTGCGGCCTGGGTTCGATCCTCAGCACCACATACAAACAAAGATGTTGTGTCCTCCGATAATTAAAAAATAAATATTAAAAAATTCAAAAAAAAAAGACAACATACTCCTACATGTAGAAAACCCTAAAGATTAAACACACACACACACACACACACACACACACTCACACACACACACACACTCACACACACACACAAAAAGTTGTTTCTATGTACCAACAAGTGACAATATGCAAAAGAAATTGAGAAAATAATTCCATTTATAACACATTTGCATCAAAAAGGAATAAACCTAATCAAGGAGGTGGAAGACTTGTCCACTGGCCCCTACAAAACATTGCAGAAGAAATTAAAGATGACACAAAGAAATAAAAAGACATCCCATGCTCATTGAGTGGAAGACTTAATATGAAGACGTCCATAGACCCAAAGTGATCCACGTCCTCCACCCAATCCCTAGCAAAAGCTCAAGAACAGTTTGTGCAGAAACAGAAAATTTTATCCTCACATTCACATGGACTCTCAAGGTGCCCCAGAGGACCCACACATTCAGAAAAAGAAGAAAGTTGGAAGACTCACACTTCCCGATATCAAACAGAAATTACAGAGTTACAATGATCAAAACAGTTTGGGGGCATAAAGTCAGACACATCATCTCATGGGCTAGAACAGAAAGCCCCAAAGTAAGCCCTTGAATATACAGTTACTCGATCTTCGACCATTTAACAAATGGGGCAGAATCTTCAAGAAAATTATGTGGGGAAACCAGACACCCACCTGCAAAAGAATGATGTTAGAGCCTTATCTCAAGCAATATAGATGAACTCAAGACTAAAGACCTAAATGTAAGACCTCAAACTATGAAAATTCTATACAAAACAGTAGGAAAGCTTTACATCATCAGATTTGGTCATGATTTCTTCAATGCGACACTAAAAGCCCAGGCAAAGAGAGAAAAAATAAACAAAGGGGAATAATCAAACTCTTGTGTATCAAGAACACAATCATCAAAGTGATAACCTACAGAATGGGAGAAAATATTTGCAAATGACGCACCTGAGAAGGGAGAAATATGCAGCATTCATAAAGAACTCCAACAGGCAAGAGTGGTGACACTATCCTGTGATCTCAGCTCCTCAGGAGGCTGAGACAAGAAGATTGCAAGTCTGAGGCCAGACTGGGTAACTTTGTAACACCTTGTCTCCAAGTATTTTTTTAAAGGGGTTGAGGGCATAATTAAATGGAGTATTTCCCTAGCATGTGTGAAGCCCTGGATTCAATCTACAGTGCAGAAAGAAAAAAGAAAAAAAAAAACTCTGACAACAACAAGAGCAAAAAATCAAATAACCCAATTTAAAAATGAGAACAGACTTGAAGAGTTATTTCTCCAAAGATGACCTGCAAGTGGCCAGCAAGCATATGAAAAGATGCTCACCTCAGGAGCATGTCTTACACTCATGAGGATAGCTGTTATCCAGGAAGGAGGAGGAACAGAAGGAAATTCACGAAGGAGTGCCCATGAGGACATGGAGAAATCGAAACCTTCTGCACTGGTGGTAGGAATGGGAAGTGGAGCGACTGCCAAGAACAATAGCGTGGCACTTCTTTAAAAAATAAAATGGAGTCCAAGCATGGTGGTGCACACCTGTAATCCCAGTGGCTCGGGAGGCTGAGGCAGGAGGATCACGAGTTCAATGCCAGCCTCAGCAACTTAGTGAGTCCCTAGACGGCTTAGTGAGACCTAGACAGCTTAGTGTCTTAAAGTAAAAATTGTAAAGCGCTGGGCTGGGGTTGTGCTCAGAGGTAGACCGATGGCCAAGCACATGTGAGGCACTGTGTTCGATCCTCAGCACCATATAAAAACAAAACATATTGTGTCCACCTATAACTAAAAAAAATAATAATAAATATTTTTTTAAAAAAGTAAAGGGCTGGGGATATGGCTCAGTGGTTAAGGGCCCCTGGGTTCAATCCCCAGTACCAATAAAATAAAATGAATGGAAAATATAAAATGAAGCTAACTATGTCATCCAGCAAGTCCTCCTCTGGGTCTATAGCCAAAGGTGTGAATTCAGGGTCTCAAAGAGATATGTGCATAACTACGTTCCTAGCAGCACTGTTCACAATAGCCAAGAGGCAGAAGCAACCCAAGGGTTCATGGAGGAACAAATGGATAGACGACACAAACTGCACGCATGTGCACACGCACACAGAACAGTATTCAGCTTTGAAAAGGAAAGAAGCCGTATCACCTACTGCAACACAAAGGAACCCTAAGGACCTGACGGTAAGTTAGATAAGCCAGTCACCCACAAAAACAAGTACCGTGTGACCCTACCATTGTGAGGTTTCTCAAATCAAATTCACAGAGTCAGAAAGTCAGACAGTGGTCACTGGGGCTGGGAAGGGCAGGGGCAGTGGGAGTTTCATGGGTAAAGTTTCAGGTTTACAAGATGATACAATCCTGGAGATTGGCTTCACAGCAGTGTGATACGGCGAGTGCAACTCCAGGGCAGATGTAGGAAAGGTCAAGATGGTAAATTTTATTCAGTGTGTTTTTCTATTGGTTTGTTGGGGATTTGGTTTGGTTTGGTTTTTTACTCAATTGAAAAAAGAAAAAAAAAATAAAAACAGCAACAGCTAGAACAGACCAGAACAGTTTCTCCTCTGGAGACTCCAGAAAAGTGTGGACTTCAGGGCCTCCAGAACCGTAATGAAATAGCGGTGGCTGTCAGTCTCCCAGTTTGGGTGATTTGCCACAAGAGCCACCAGAAACTAATATGTGAATAAATGATCAGCTCTAAGGCCAGGTGAATCAGCAGCAGGAGGACAAAAACCCAGGGAAGGAAGGTGTCCTGAGGTCCCAGGCTCAGGACAATGGAGGAGCTGAGAGGTGCCCTGTGGTGTTAATGAAAGTGACCAAGAGGAGGAGAAATTAGGATGAAGTAGCCAGGGCGTAGGTCCCATAAAAGCCAAAGTAAGGACTCTGGGTTTAGAGAGACAAAAAGGGTCACCTCAGACCAGCATGCTCAGAGGCTGTGCTGGTAACAGGGAGCAGGGATGTGACTTAGGGGCTCGTGGCCCTAAACGCCCAGCTGGTATCCTGGATAGATGTTGTACGTGGAGGCAAAGGACATGCTGAGGGACTAGATAGAGGGGGTGGGGACAAGATGGGAGGCCTCAAAAACAGGTGCCTGCTTTCAAAGTTGGCCTGCATGACTGGGTGACCTTGGCACCCTTTCCTGAGATGAGAAGCACCTGGGGAGGAGCTGATCTGGGGGCAAATTAAGAGCTCTGACTTGGGCATGCTAAGGTGCCCACTTAGCATCCAAGCTGAGATGCCAGGTGGACACATGGGCCCCTGGGACTGCAGTTCAAGAAGAGGTCTGGAGCCAGCTGCAGTGGTGCACACCTGTAAGCCCAGCTACTAGGGAGGCTGAGGCAAGAGGATCCATCACATGTTGGAGGCCAGCCTGGACAACTCAGTGAGACCCTGTCTCAAAATAAAAAATAAAAAAGGACGGGAGATGGCTCAGTGGTAGAGCATCTCTGGGTTCAATCCCTAGTACCAATTAAAAAGAAAAAAGGCCAAGACAGTCACTGAGTCTCCCATCTGGACAAGGTCACCCAGCAAAAGTAAGGAGGGGGCAGACTGGGATGGACAGCAGGGATCCCACAATGCCATCTGTCTTGGCTAAGACAGCTCAGGCTTTGTCCCCTGCTCTCAGCAACAGTCTTGGGCTCATTTTGTGGCTGTGGCCGTGTCCCCAAGGAGGCTCTTGCTTGTCACCAACTTTTGTTCAGCCAGGCACCAATTTGGCAAGCTTAGACCCATCCTAAATGCTGACCTGGAATAGGCAAACTTTTTCCATGGGACTCTCAACCCCTCATCTAGAAAACATTGATCATGAAGCCATAAGTAAAATATCTTTGAGTAAACACCAAGTACATATTTGCCACTTGGATAGCTTAAAATAAGCCCCCAGTTCCCTTATGTTGACTGCATCCCTGTCATGAGCCCTCTCCTCCAGGTGTCCTCTCCAAGCCCCTTCACCCCCGCCTGGTACCTGCTGCCACCCACTACAGCTGTGCCAGCCCTCGTTGGTCTCCCTCAACCCTGCCCGGTCCATTGTAAACATCCCCTTTATTAAACAAGGTCCCCACAGAGCTCCAGGAAGCCTGCAGTTCCAGCTACTACTGGAGAGACTGAGGCAGGAGGATCACTTGAGCCCAGGAGTTCAGGGCCAGCCTGGGGAACATAGTGAGACCTTGTCTCTAAACTCAACCAATCAATGCCAGGCACAGTGGCACACACCTGTAATCCCAGTGACTTGGAAACCTAAGGCACGAGGATCGCAAGCTCAAGGACAGCCCCAGCAGTTTAGAAGGACCCTAAGCAACTTAGCAAGACCTGGTCTCAAAATGAAAAATCAAAAGGGCTAGGGAGGGGCTGGGGTTGTGGCTCAGTGGTAGAGCACTTGCCTAGCATGTGTGAGGCCCTGGGCTCGATCCTCAGCACTACATAAAAATAAATAAATAAAATGAAGGTATTGTGTCCATCCACAATGAAAAAAAAAATTAAAAAGAAACAAAGGGCTAGGGATATGGCTCAGTGTTAAGCTCCCCCTGGGTTCAATCCCCAGTTCCAAAATTTTTTTAAATACATAAATAAAATAAACAAGGTCCCACTAAGTGTGCTCTCTGTTTCCTGCTAGGGCCTGAGATAAATACCACAGGAAAGCAATGAGCAAGCCAAAGGTTGCAGGGCAGCCTCTGAGGTCCTTCATGTTTCCTTGTGACATTTCACTGTGAGTGTCCAGGGACCATCTGACCAAAAGATACGGTGAAGGCATCAGCATCCACCTAAATGTTAATTACTAGAAAACAAGAATCTAATCTTCTTCCCTGTCCATACGATTGTTTACACCCAGAGGGGAGCATCTCCTACTTTGCTGGCCACTGGCCCAAGAACTGCCTAGATCTGTCTGCACAAATGTGACAGAAGCTAGCTCCGCCTCTATCCTCACTTGGCCCAGTTTACAGCTTCCTGCGCAGCGGGCTTAAGCAAGCGGGTGTGTCTAGGGGAGACAGGGTTGCCCCCATGAAGGTCAACATTCTAGAACTGTCCGACTCTGGGCAGCGTACAACACCCTTCCAGTGCTGGACTAGACAGCGGAATTTCTTTGGTCACTTGACTCAACCAAAACCTTATTCAACTGGGCCTCCTCCTGGACCCTGAGCAGAGCCTCTCCAGGTCCCCCCTGAAAGACCCCTGAAGACCCCGACTGCTCGAAGTATGAAAGTGAGGGAGCACTGGGTGGTCCACAGATGGGTTTACTCAGTGCATGCTACAGGAGAGGCGGAGGCGTCTGCAGCAGCGGTGTGTTCTGGGGACTTCCATAGCTCCTAAGGGAACTGTGTAAGGTCACAACTGTCAGTCCCCTAATGGGCTCCTGGGCTGGTGATAGTCCTTTGGCAGGCTCTTTTGGTGGGCTCTTCCTCCTAATCAGGAAGAACCCCAAAACCTAGAGCCCTAGGTGCAACTGCCATTGTTGGGCGGTTCAATCCCCTGTTGTACGCTGCCCTGACCTGACTCCATGCCTAACATTCCTCCCTTTTTGGTTTATTAAAAGGAAATGGGCACCAAGTCCTCTGGCTACTTCTTGCTGAGTCAGGGGCATCCTGGGGTAGGAGGAAGGGTGTTGGGGACAGAGGGCTGGACAGGAAAGTTCATAAGGCAGTGGGTGATAATTAGCAAAATCAGCAGATACCTGCCTAAGCTGGCAATTTCAGGGTGTCGGGGGTCTATAAAGTACCTTGTCACCGTAGTTCTTTGAGGGCCTGTTCCCAGCCAGACGCGATGAGGGGGTCAGGGAGCAGCCATGCATCTTCGTGCATCGCCTGCCTGGCTGGGGATCCCAGTGTCATTCCTCTCCTCCATAGATGACACAGGCCACAATTACAAAGAGAAGGGTGTAGATAAGCACTTTGCAAGATCATGAGGATAGACTGAGAACCATGGGAGATATCTATCAACCCCGTTACAAGCAGTAGGATCCAGAGGCCGTGGCCGCTGATGAATCCCGGGTGGCACAGCAGAGGCCGCGGACTGGAGGTGCCGTAGGTTGAAGTGAAGAGCCTCGGGGCAGCGAGAAGTTGGAGGGTGCATGATAATTTACAGCATTGAGAAGTCCCTGGGATAGGTCAGCCTCTCTTGGGAGTAGTTGGTAATGCCTAAGAAGGAGCTGGTTGAAATCTGGCTAGAGATTGTTGAGATCTGAGAGATGATACACCTGAGGATGCAAGGAATGACAGGTAAGATGGCAAAAAAGGCAGCGAGGGACCCCAGCAAGGGTAACGGCCAAGGAAGCCGACTCTCCATGGGCTCCATGCATTCCGGACAAAGAACTGTCCTCGCTTTTCCCTGAGGTCTTTGATGACTTGCTTTAGCTTGTGCAGGCTGTGGTCTGTCTCCCCAGCCTGGCTGACATAATCACAGCCCTCCTCACCCTGGAACACACCTGTGCCTCCCTTTCCAGCTGTTATAAGGTCTAAGACCCTTCTATTTTGGAGGACGACCTCTGCCAAGGAGGAGCGACCTCTGCCAAGGAGGAGCGTTGGGCCTGGAGGGAGTGGGTGGCGCTGAGGGAGGCCTCTGCTGTTTGTGTGAGTTTGTCCCCAAGGTCTTCCAGCTCCTGAGAGAAGGATTGAGTAATGACCAATGCCCCCCATGGCTACCCCTGAAGCACTGTGGAAGCCACAAGGCTGACTCCCGCCAGGACAGCTGCTCTCCTGTGGTGATGACTCGCAGGAGATGTAAGGATGTCCTCAGCCTCTGCCCAGGTGCATAGGGTGAGGCTGGGGATAAGGATGATGGGTAACAGGCCCTGGCGTGGTCGGGGAGACGCAGGAGAACAGGTAGGATCTGCAGAGGAAAAGCGCAGGAGGAGGCAGAGGGACGTTGGCGTTGAGGGTGTTGTGGGTTCCCGGGGGCAGGATGAGGAAGTGGTTGCCCAACAGGTGGTGATGTTAATGAACAGGAGAAGAGGGGTGTAGGGTGGGAGACATGGGGCTGTTGGTGGCTGGGCAGGACCAAGCGGAGGGGGTGGCATTAATAGCAATAGGAGCCAGTAGGGGTCGCCAGAGAGGCACACTGAAAGCAGGAAGAGAAATTGGAAGTAGAATAGTTGAGCAGGAGCTGGAGGGAGAGTGTTCATATCCTATTCCATGAGAAGGTAGGGAGTGGTTTAAGGATTTGTGCTGTGACTTGGTGTGGATTTGGTGGCATTGAGACGTTGTAGGCCCCCTTGTGAAGAGGAGTCAGTAATAATCTTTTTTATGATGATTTTCCCTCTGCCACTGTACCTGTTGGGGTTGTAGAAGCCTGCGGCTGCTATCCTGGATTGCCAAGAGGAGGGATCGGGAAACTGAAACATAACATGGAAAGGACCATGTTACTGGTTGACTGTAGGCACCCGGCCTGATTCCCCAGTGGGATTTCCCCATGGTGGGATGGGACCAATGATACCCAGAGTTCCAGGAAGGGCAGCCCTCCCAGCCCAAGCGACCCTTGCAGCCGTCATTGTGCTGGTCCTCCTCAAAGCATAAGAACTTAGCATAGCTGGCCAAACCATGGCCACATTGATGGGCACAAGTGAGACTGCATCGAAGGAGAGGGTGATGGAGGGGTAGCTAGCTAATGGGCAGGAGGACTGATTGAGTAGACGGGTTTCCTGACCGTGGTTAAACTATCAAACTTGAAAAGTATACATGCCTGGTGGGGTACTGCAAGAGTCGGGGGCAAGCCCCGGAAGAGGGAGGAGGAAAATGTGTAAGAGGTTCATGAGTGAGGCTAGCGTGATGTCTGGGAGATGTGGAGCTTAAGAGGCCTATCAGGGTGGAGGTGAGAGGTATAAGGAGGTAGTGCAAGCGAGGTGTTTGAGTGTTGTTCCTCCTTGGCGGGGCCGGGAGTCAGCTTTAGTTGGGAGATGTGAGTTCAAGGGGACAGCGTAGCTGATCCTTCCAAGAGTCTGACCACTGTGGGGGTAGATAGGACAACTTATAAGGGTCCTTTCCATTTTGGGGAAAGGTCTGTTCTTGGGAAAGGGGGCATAATAGACCAAGTGCCTGAGGTTAAAGGGAAGGTCGGGGAAGGATCGGATGCATCAGGCAACAGGAGGTCTTGGTGTTTCCAACTCTCAGAGCTGATGAAGGAGAAAAGGGGAAAGGGAAAAGTTTTCAGCCAGGTGCAGGGAGAGGGGGTGAGGCCAGGAGGCAGAACCGGGCATCCATAGAGGACCTAGAAGGGTGAGAATTGTGGGGGTTTCTTTGAAAGGACTCTAATGCGGAATAAGGCCATGGGAAGGAGCTTGACCCATTCACAGTGAACTTCAAGGGAAAGTTTGGCTAGAATCTCTTAAGAGTCCTATTGGAACGTTCAACCTTACCGGACGATCGTGGATGGTAAGGGAGGTGGAAGATCCAGGGTACACTTAGGGCTGCTGTGATTTGTTGTGTGATCCAAGACATAAATTCGGGGTCCATTGTCCGATTGAAAGGACATGGGTACCCCGAATCTTGGTATAATCTCAGTTAATAGGAGGTGGGCCAGAGTGGAGGCTAGTTTGTGGGGAATGCCTCGACCCAGCCTGAGAAGGTGTCAACAAAGACCAGAAGGTACTTATAACACCTCACCACAGGCATGTGCATAAAGTCAACCTGCCAGTCAGCTCTGGGGATGTGGCCTCGAGCTTGATGAGTAGGAAAGGTTCCTGGTTTTAGGGGGAGTTGTGGGTTGACTTGATGGCAGACTTGACAAGCAGTGGTGGTGTCTTTAATGACCTATTAGTTGAAGACAGGGTAAAAAAAGTGGAGAGAAAAGTCTGTAGGGTCAGGGGTTGGGGTGGAAGATTGAGCGTAGGTAGTGGATTGTTTCTGTCTCTAGCAGAGAAGTATGAACAGTGTGTGGCTGGGATACCAGGAGGCAAGTGGCCGAGGTATCCGAAGAGAGCGCAGCTTGCCTGGCCGCTGCATCTGCTCGATTATTTCCCATGGTCATGAAGCTGGCATCAGACTGGTGTGACCGACAGTGGACGATGCCAATCTTGGTAGGGAGCAAGAATGCCTCTAGTAACTGAGAGATCAATTATGAATTGACTATTGAAGACCCTTTGGTGGTGAGGAGTCCCCTTTCCTTCCATGTGGCTGCATGTGATAGGAGGTTATGGAAAACATACTTGGAATCAGTGTATAGGGTCAGGATGCATCTGCAGCCAGCTGAAAGGCGCGGGTGACCGTGATTGATTCCGCCTGCTGGTTGGTGGTATTTGGGGGAAGGGGTTTGACCTCTATGGTTCGGTCTAAGGATACTATTACATATCTGGCCAGTTGGCGTCCATCCACAAGGAAGGAACCGCCATCTGAGAACCAGGTGTGGGTAGAGTTCTCGAGGGGGCCCTCAGAGAGATGAGTAGGGCATGAAGGATCTGTTCCAAGACCTGTCTGCAGTTGTGTAAGGGAGGGGCAGCTGAAATGGGGAGCAAGGAGGCAAGGTTTAGAGGCGCGCAAGCCTGGAAGGAGGTAGAGGTGTCCTGTATGAAAGTCACCAAGAGGGGAAGGATGCGGCAAGGCAGGAGAGTCTGGAGTCCCTTGTATGTTAGGAGTTCTTTGAGATGATGGGGACTGGCAATCCTTACAGGTGCTCCAGAGGTTAACTTTGTAGCTTCCAGGAGCAAGATATAGGCCGCTGCCAGGACGTGGAGACATGGCGCCCACCCCCACACAGTAGGGTCTGTTTAGACAGATAAGTCACAGGGGCAAACCAGGGGCCTACGTTTGACCCAACACCCCCAGGGCTAGACCCCGGTTCTCATGGCAGTACAGAAGGAATGGTCTTTGAAGCTCAGGCAGTTGCAGCGCTGGGGCTTGCAAAAACTTGCTGGAGTTTTTGGAAAGGCTGGACGAGGTCTCCTGTAGGGACCAGGGAGGAGAAAGACTTGACAAGGTCATATAGGGGTTTCGCTAGAAGAGAAAAGTTGGGAATCCACACTCTAAAGTATCCTGCCAGCCCCAGGAATGAAGGGGTTTCCTCTGTGGTGCTGGGAGTCTGTAACTGCTTGATATAAGCCTTGTGGTTGTTGGTGGTAGCCTTGGAGCGGTGGACAGGAGCACGCCCAAGTAGGTAACCTGGGCCTTTGAAAGTTGGACTTTAGCAGGAGAGACCCGGTAGCCCCTTTCAGCTAGGAAATTGAGAAGTGAGGTGTCATTCTGTGATTATTCCAGGGAGGGACTGCAGAGGAGTAGGTCATCTACATATTGCAGTAATCGGGATTGTGAGAGGGACAGGTCATCTAGATCAGTGGCCAAAATATACGGGGGCTGTCCCAAAATCCCTGGGTTAAGTCCATCCAGGTCAGTTTACGAGACCGGCGTAACTCAGGATCTGTCCAGGTGAAAGCAAAGAGGTCCTGAGATGTGGGGCCAAGGGAATAGAGAAGTGAGTTGATATCTATCACTGAGAAGTGAGTTGAGGAAGGAGGTATAGAGGACAGGATGGTATATGGGTTTGGAACCAAGGAGTATACGGGTTGGACAGCCTCATTGATCAGCCGGAGATCTTGAACTAAACGAAAGGTGCCATTAGGTTTTTTAACTGCCAGGATGGGAGTGTTGAAAGGCGAGTGGGTGGGTCTGAGGAAGCCCTTGGTTAAGAGATCTTGAATGATGGGCTGTAGGCCTATCAGGCTGGCAGAGGGAAACGGGTATTGGGGTTGACATGGATAGGCATCTGGATGTTTTAAAGTAATAACAACGGGGAGCAGTATGCAAGTGATGGGGTTGTGGTGTCCATACCCTGGGGTTGACTTTGTCTGGGGGAAAGGGAAGGAGGGGAGTTCCTCTGTTGGAGGCAACATGAGTAGTGAGAGAATGTAGGAGACTGACTTGTCAAGATTGAAGGTGATAGATGTCTCAAATTTGGAGAGGATGTCTCGCTCTAGCAGGAGAACTGGGCATTGGGCCATAACCAAGAATTGGTGGGAGAATATGACTCTGAGGAATGAGCAGGAGATTAGGGCAGTGATCCTAGGCAACAACAGAGGTGGGGCCACCCAAACTCCATCAGAACAACAACAGAGGTGGGGCCACCCAAACTCCATCAGAACAGAGAATGAGGCTCCAGTGTCAAGGAGGAATGAAATGGGCCCCCCTACTAACAACAGAGGTGGGGCCACCCAAACTCCATCAGAACAGAGAATGAGGCTCCAGTGTCTAAGAGGAATGAAATGGGGCATCTGTCTATGGTAAGTGTGACCCTGGGCTCCTGTGTGGTGATGGCCATCGGGGAAGGAAACCTAGAGCCCATCAGTCTTCCACCACCAGTCCCAGAAGGTCATGCCCAGGGCTGTGGGCATGTCTACGGCCCAATGACCAGGACACTGGAACTTTGGGCAGGGTTTGGTAGGAACCCTTGGGTTAGGACAAGCCCTGGCCCAGTGGCCATCCCTTCCACATTTGAAGCATGGCCCTGGTGGGCTGCATGGAGGTCCTTTAGAGGATGAAGTTGGGGGGAAGATGCCCAAATGGCCTGAGCCAGCATCTGGGATTTGTGGGGTTTGGCCTTTTCCTCCTTATTATGGCAGACCTTGAAGGCCAGGGGTGAGAGGCCCCCTTTCCAACCTCTTTAGTTTGGCCTTTATGTTGGGGTAGCTTTGGGGGAAGAAATGGGTCATTAGGAGCTGTCTCCCATCAGGGGTTTCGGGGTCTAAATTAGCATATTGTTGGAGGGCCTTAGCCAGCCTACCTAAGAAAGTGGAGGGGTTCTCATTTTTGTCTTGAATGATCTCTTGGAGCTTTTCAAAGTTAACTACCTTCTGAGTTGCCCATCTGAGTCCGGCAACTAGGCAGGTGGAAAATTGGTCCCTCAGGGCTAATCCTGCGGCAGTATTGTAGTCCCAATTAGGGTCCTGGTCAGGGACTGCCTGAGCACCTAGCGGGTGAGCCTGGGTGGTTTGATGAACCTCATCAGCTTAATTACGGGCTTCCTCCCACACCCGTCTGTGCTCCTCTGGGAGAAGAGCATTGGCCAGGATGGTGGAAATGTCGGGAAAAGTGAGGTTAAAGCCTGAAGAAGGTATTCAAATTCCTCAATGTATAAGGAGGGGTTGGAAGTGTATGAGCCCAGGCACTTCTCAATTTGGGAGAGGTCTGCCATAGAGAAGGGAACATGAGCCCTCACAATGCCTTCAGCACCCGCCACTTCTGGGGGGGGGCGTGGCGATAGTACACGAAGAAAGGTGAATTTTAGAACAGGTTTTAGGGGGACTAAAAGGGGGCTGGGAAGCTCTGGGGGTGATGCCAGGGGAGCTGAGGGCTGTGGGGTAGGAGGATTGGGCATGGTTGGGAAGCAAGGCAGAGGCAGGGGTTGGGAGGCCTGCCGGTGAGGAGGTGGCTCATCTGCAGGGTCAAAGTTGGAAGGACAGGAGGAGAGATCCTTGCATGGCTTAATGGTGAGAAGAAGGTAGTGTGGTTTGCAGGGGGTGCATAGGTTAGGGTTTTGGTAGAGAAGAGTGAAAGCTTCAACATAGGGGATCTCTGTCCATTTCCTTATGTGCTCACGGTGATTGAAGAGGTCACATAAAGGAGGATCCAGCGACCCTGATGGGGCCACTTATTTTGGTTATCTAGTTGGTACTTTGGGTAATCTTGTATGCAATATTTGATAAGGCACTTATGTTTAATAGGCTACGAGTGGACCGATTATTCAATAGACACCTAACTGGGGGAGTCCACCGGCAGGGAGCTGAAATTCCCCATGACAGGCAGATGATTCAGACAAAGCGTCCCTTAACGAACAATTGCCTGGAGAGAGAAATCAGTTTTTGATGTGGTCGTCACCAGATCACAATACCGATTGGACTCCAAGGAGCCGAGGGACCGCAGGTCACCCAATATCAGAGTTTATGGGAAAGTCAGACCTGGGCCGAGGCATAAGGGGAGATCCTAACCCGTACTAGTAGAATCCGGAGGATTGCTCCAGGGTCGCTGTGACCATAAAGGCCTAGGCAGAGTGAATTCTCCTCCCACAGGTGGTCAGAGGAGCCGAGAGATGATCAATGGTCAGTTTCCCCTGAGGGTACACCTGCTGGTGAGCAACGGAGAAGGGGAAAACTTACCAATGGATGACCGATGTTGGATATGGGTCCGGCGACCAAGGAAATGGACTGGGGATGACCTGGGACGAGTGGGGGGTGAATCCAGATTGGGGTCCTCACCTAGTGAAGGTGAGGGAATCCCAATCCTAGTCACGGCACCAACGAGAGACCTCTGAAGACTCCCACTGCTCGAAATATGAAAGTGAGGGAGCACACCGGGTAGTTCAGAGATGGGCTTACTCAGTGCAGGCTACAGGAGAGGCGGAGGAGTCTGCAGCAGCAGCGGTATGTTCTAGGGACTTCCATAGCCCCTAAGGGAAATGTGCGATGTCACAATTGTCAGTCCCCTATTGGGCTCCTGGGCCAGGGACTGTCCTTTGGTGGGCTCTTCCTCCTAATCAGGAAGAAGTACCCCAAAGCCTAGAGCCCTAGGGGCGACCGCCATTGTTGGGCGGTGGCCCGACCCTGACCTGACCTGACTCGGTGCCCAACACCCCCAGCCCTGGGAAAGGACGACAGTGAGCCTGGCAGAGAGGCGTTCTTTTCCCAGATCCTGCGCGTTCGTTCGCACTCTGGGACGCCTGGGACAGCCGTGAGTCTTCGCCTTCCCGCCCCCCACCCCCGGCCTGCCCCCACTGCAGGGCTCAGGGGAGAGGGAGAGGACCCAGCTGGCGCCCCTCCCCAAGGTGACCTCCGCGTCCTCAAGGTCCACTAGGCCTCCATCACCTTCGGCCTGGCCTCTAGGTGGCTTGGGTCAGAAGGGCTCCCAGCGGCGAAGCAGAGGCGTCTACACGTCCCTGGTCACCGCACTAGAGCGCGCTGCACAGCTAGCCGCGCCCAGCAGCGAGCTGTCGCCCTCCTGGGGAAAGATG